AAATGTGCGACAAGCCGGATCTCTCAGAGGTGGAGAAATTCGACAAGAAGAAGCTGAAGAAAACCAACACGGAGGAGAAGAACACGCTGCCCTCCAAGGAGAGTGAGTGCGGGTCGGGGGGTGGGCACACGGGTGGGTGGGCACACGGGTGGGTGCCCTTGGGGGCTGATCTCACGGCTGAGCCATCCGGAGGAAAGAGGCAGTTTGGGGCTCTGACGCACAGAAAGCCCCTGGCCGAGAGGTTTGGGGTCAGGGCAGGGCCCCCCAATGTCTCCTCAGGGCATGACCCCCCGGGAATGCTGAAGGCAGTGCCCACGTTCCTGTCACCCGTGTGTGGGGCTCGTCATGCTCCCACTTGAAGCCTGCACCACCTGGGGTCAAACCACAGAGCCGGGTGTCGGGGTCTCTGGTTGCCCTGCAGCCTTCCCAGCTGTTCCCAGGGAAGTTCCCCTTCCCCACAAAGAAGCACCAGAGGCTAATGGACCCCTCTTCTCTTGCAGCTATTGAACAGGAGAAGGAATGTGTGAAGTCTTCCTAGATTGAGATGGCCTGGCAGAAGGACCTACCACTTGATTATCTCTTTTTTTTGTTGTTTTTGCTTGGAATGAAATCATGTTTTTTTTAAATTTACATCATGTACCTGTATAGAAAACAGTTGCATCACCCAACCCAGTGTCCCACCTTGCTTTGGTGGGGGGGATGGGACAAAATACGGCCCTCTCAGTCCATCAGAGCCTGATGCAGCCCCATCTCTGCTGACTCCCCTTGGCAGTGATGATCTCACTCTGATGTGGGGAGATGAGCAAGGGCTGTGGTGGCTCCTGAACATGGACCCCTTCTGCCTGCAGGAGTGGGGATCCTTTCTGGCCTGGGTCTGTCTCACATACTCCTCACTGATGGTGTTCTGTAGGCTCACTCGCAGTTTTTTTGTCTTCCTTGGGGGAAAAATGAGAAGTTTATTATAAAATAAACGTAATGACTTACCTATGGTTTGTGGTTTTTTCCCTGGCAAAGGTTCAGGCTTCTTGCCTTGGGGCTGGGAAGGTCTCTTGTGCTGCAGCAGTGCTGGCAGTTTGGTGTTGCTCCAAGGGCTACCTGGGATGGCTCCCTGCAGGGTGAGCCCAGCTTGGTGTTGGTGCAGGGCTCAGTTCCTGGTGGCCTGGGGGAGACCAGAGCTGGGAGCTCAGCTGCCCAAGTGCACTGTGTTCTACCAGCAATCCCAACACCACAGTAGCTTCTTGCTGGTGGTATCTTCAGGTAGAGGCTGGCCTGGGCCTTTCTGCTTGAGGGCTGAGCCTCCTGCTTCAAAGAGATTGGTGTCCCCTGCCTAAAACATCACCTGGGTGGCTGGGTTGACTTCTCACCTGCAGGGGTGGAGGTGTCTGTGCTGGCAATGTGGATGCTGACCTGGGTCCCCCTGGAGCTGCAGCCAGGCTGACTCTGTGCACCTGGTTCTCAGAGCAGAGGTCTCTTCCCTAGTTCACACAGCCCTTATTTGTTTTTCAACTTGAGCCAACCTCCACCCCTGCCCTTTGTTGAAGAAGGTTTTTGCAGCCTTGTTGAGGATGGATTGATACAGTAGGCCCCTCAGGTACCCTCTAGGCTGATCCCAGCCCTGCCCAGCAGAAGGTGAGATTCTGTGTCCTGCAGTCAGTCCTCCAGCACACTGTGGGGTCTGATAGTGCCACCAGGTCTGTGCTGTAGCTTCCTGGGTGCTGCCAGGATTTCCTCACACCCAGCTGGCCTGCAGGGTCTCTGAACCAGTTGCTTATGAAGGAAGTGCAGGCAAACTTGCCAGCTAACACCTTGCCAGTGTCCCTAGTGAACCCAGTCAGCTGGATACAAGCACGGGGCTGTTGTTCCTGTCTGGACACAATGCCTGTCTGCCTTGTGCCTCCACCCACACTGCCTGCCAAGGACTGCAGGTAACACTGCTCGCGTGGAGGCAACTGCCTTCGTCCCTGCAAAAGTAAAATCAGAAAAGCTGAAGGTAAGAGGCGTGGGGGGTTTTCTGTGGGGTGAGAGCAGTGGGGAGTAATGCTGAGGCCCAGCTGGGGCTGCTGCTATGCTGGGCTGAGCATGGGGAAGCTCAGCACATGCCAGTGTGGCTGTGTCCCCTCAGCACCCTGATGACCTCAGGACAGCACCCTATCCTGAATGTGGAATCCTTTTTCCCAGTGGCAGCTGCATGGGTGGGTTGCCAAGGTGGCAGCAGCAGCTGATTGCCAAGGCAGGACTTGTCCCTTCTTGGGGGTGGTTCCTCTCTCTGGGTAGGGCAGGGTCAGCCCTGTGCTGGGGTGGGGGCAGGGGGACTCTTCTGACCCTTCTGTGAAAGCAGAAGGTAGAAAATCCCATCAGCAAGAGCTGGGCTTGGGAGCAGCAGGCAGGCCTCGCTGACAGCTAAAGGTTAAGCACCTTCTTCTGGCTGCTGCAGCATTTCCCCCTTCTGCACTGAGGCTTTGCAATCCCTTGGCCACTTGATGAAGCCAGGCTGGGAGTCGGATCAGAGCCAGAGGTAAAGCCAGCCTGAGCCCCTTCCCCTGCCTGAAAGCCAGGGCATGAGCGGAACCTAGTGGAGCTTTTGGGATGGAAACACAAAGTGGCAGAGCTGATCCCCTCTCCCCAGTGGGGCTTCTGGGCATAGGGAGGGCTCAGTGGCTGCCCACAGCACCCTCACTGCTCCTGACACCCCCCAGTGCCTCTCCCTCCCTTACTCACGCTGCAATGAGCTGCCCTGAGGGCATGGAAAACCACCAGCCGACTTATCTCTCCCTGAGTCACTGGGACCTCTGCAAGGTCAGGGCAGGAGTGTCTCGGGTCCCTGGCACCGAGGTGCTCACAGAAACCTCCCCCTCGCCTCGTGCTGCACATGTGGGCAACAGAGACCTTTCCCACCCCTGGTGCCCCAAGTACCTGCCAACCGTGCGCCCCTTTGCTGTGGGGCTGGCAGGTTTGCCAGCTGGGGTGAGGGCTGTGGCTCCCCAGGGGTTGCCCCAGATGGCAGGGTTGTAGGTGCCAGGAGCTGGTAAAGCTCCTAATGCTCCAGCAGTCACCCCGAGCCTGTGGAACCAGCCCATGGGACCTTGCTGCGTTCAAAGGGAACTGCAGGATGAGGACAGGGGTGCTGATGCACTTGGGATTCTGGTCTGAGACAGGACAGAACCAATTTTCTTGTCAGTAATTTACTTTTCAGTTAAGTCCCTTCTAAGCAGCTGCACTTGCTGAAGTTAGCAGCAGGTTTCTCAGTCAGTGTCTGCTTGTGGGACTGATAATGCTCCATGTTTATAGTTCCTGCAGGACCAAGGGCACTGCTTGGGGCTGGGAAACTCTTGTGCTCCAGAAACAGAGGGAATAAAGGAGTCACACCTGCCACCCTCCAGTGGAGAGGAGTGGACCAGACAGCTGGCCAAAACTGACCAAGCCATTGCCTCCCATACCCGTCATACTCTGCATAAATTTGAGGGATCATGAGGGTCAAGCTCTCTTTGTCCACGGCCAGAGCCCTCCAGGGAGGAATTCTAGCCATTTTTCTGCCTTTCATCCTGATCTGTACATTCCTGCATCCAGCTCCCATCTGCTGCTGACGCCAGGAGCCCAGTCCGGGATTTTCCAGGGCCTGCCCTGCAGCCTCAGTGGTCACGTGAGTGTTATTGAGGGGAGGGACATGATATCACTTTTATATATATTTGTACATATTTCATAATTTCCCTTTTCATCACTCCTGTTTCATTAAAGTATGTGATTTAGTTTCCAGTTGTAAATCTCTCTCCCTTATTCTTTCTCCTTTCCCTTTCTGAGGTTAATAGAGAGCATCTGTCATGTAACTGCTGGCCCAGCATTAACCCCTGACACTGGGTTTGGGTGGCTTTTTCACAGTGGCCACCCTGGGATGCAGCAATGCAGGTTTAGCCATGGAGTTGAGTGCTGGCACAGTTGAGTCTGTGCCCCAAGAAAACCACTCCAGGACCTGGCAGCCCCAACCCAGCCCTGGGGACATTGGTTGGAGCTGGGGGCATCTCAGTGGGTTGTGTGACCAACATGTCTGTCAGCCCAAAACGAGGGCAGCCCAGGCACATCTCCCACTCACATCCCTGCCAGAATGGTGCACAGGGAAGTACTGTACACATTGTCCAAACCCTGCATCCTCAGATCTGAGGATAAAGAGCTCTTTTGCAACCCGGTGCCCAAAATGTCTCTGTTGCCAGGAAAGGATTAACCAGTAAGGAGGACCATTATAGAAAAGCCCTTTATATCAAGACTTTCCCTCCCTGCCTTGAGACCTTCCCTTTTTCAGCCTGGTACACGTGGGCACAAGGCTGCCAGTGGTGTGGGAGGCCAGGACACCTGTCATTCTGATGTCCACTAGAAACATGGTGGCTTCAGTAGCTTGGGCTGCCCCAGCAGCCACCTGTGTGCAGAGGGTGCCATCCTGAGAGCTGGGCTTTCCTGGCAGGGCCCAAGGTTGCCTTCCCTTCCCAGGCACCAGTTGAGTTATATGTCAGCTCCTCCTGGCAATCCTGCAGCTCTGGGGGCAGTTTCCTGACATTGCTGGATTGAGTGGTGAGCTGTGGCTGGCTTTGCAGAGGAGGGAGGAGGAGGCTGAGTCACAGGCAGGAGGAATTTGGGCAAATACCTGGTGATCAGGGTGAATCCAGATCAGGGCTTGTGGCTGGGATAGGCATCTGCCACTGCTCCATCCCCTCTGGCTCAGCCGGGAAAGGATTTGGCCCCATGTACACTTGTGGGGAGGATCATGATCCCAACTCTCAGGCACCTCCTGTCAGCCTGTGCATGGCCCTGCACCGAGCACCCTGCTGTTGCCCTCCTCCCAGCTGTGCACCCACCTTGCCAAGCTGTGGCACCCTCTGCACATCCTGCAGCACCCTCTGCACATCCTGCAGCACCATGCTGGTTTGCAGTGCAGACCTCCCAGTGCAAGGGAGGTTTTTACACGCCAGCAGTCAAGAGTTTTCCCTTGGCCACTCTCCATCTGGCAGCCCCTGGAGCTGTGGCAGAAAGTGGTGAGAGCCAAGGGGCAGTCATGACCAGGGCCTGGGGAAGCTCCCAGATTTGGATGGCTGGAAATCACCAGCCCCAGCCCACACTGCAGCCAGTTCAAGCAAACACCCCCTTGGGAGGTGTGGGTTTATCACCAGGGTGAGCAGGATAAAACAAGCCAGGCTGTGTGGCCAGGCAGACCCTGCAGCTCCCCAACATGTGGGTCCTCCCACACCCACTACTTCCCACATTGATGAGGACTAAGTGTCACCACGACTGGCTCACTCGGGTCAGCCTTCCCCCACCTGGTGTCCCTTGCCCCTGTGGACACTGCCAAGCCCAGAGCTCAAGCCTGTGGTGGAGAGGGGAGGCTTGGGGGCAACATGAAGGAACTGCCAGGGAAAAACTCTGCTGGGGTGTTTTGGTGGGATTTGTGCATGTGTGCGTGCAAGGGGATAGTTTTATGCTTGGCTGTCAAAGGGGGAAGCAGAAGAGACTGAGCAGTAACAGGGAAATGAAAGTAGTGTGTGAGCTGGTGAC